AAAAAAAAAAAAAATAACAACAATGAAGCAGATAAATACGCGATATTTTATCTGGCTAAGCAAACACGTTTTTACAGTTTCTGTTCAAATATTTTGAAAATACTTTGTCGTGTTTGAGAAATACCGTTTTGGGGATTTATGTACGCTGTACAGTGCACCAAATGCAGAGTACGCACTGAAACTGAAATTGAAACTGAAGTCATGCCTTTGACATTTGCAGCGCTTAACCTTAAAACGACGAACACACGATGACAATATCAGAGAGCGCCACAGACCGAGAGAGAGTCGAAGAGAGCCGCAGCGCTGGCGCATGCGCCAAAGATATCATTGCCAACCCTCATAGCAGGCTTCGCGCAGTCATAGTTATGTGGCGGAAATGCACAATGCGCCCACTAGGTGGCGCAACATTTGACTAAACTATGCTGAGCTTTTGAAGCTGCAAGAGCTTTCATCGAATAGTTCTTGTCCTAGTGCAGCTTTGGATGAGAATGCAACTTAAGGGCGCAAAGCTCGTCGTGCCAAATCAACACAAAGCTTGCTGCTTTTCCATCGAGCTCACCTTTGCACCAATCCGCTGAACTGTTAACTTTTAAGATTTGAGCAAAGAAATACTTGCCTGAATCTAATACTATTAAGCACCAGAAAGCTTTTACAAACTAAGCAAGTAAGCATGTTGCAGTCGTATGTGACCGACTGCGCAATACTCTGTTCGAACTGTAAAAGTAGTCGAAAAAAGTCTTCTGGATTATTGATAGGTCGCTTTAAGGCTAAAACTGAATGTCATTGAGTAAACTTTATGAAATATTGGTTTTACGATATGTTTGGGAGAGAGAGAGAGCGGGCATATATATAAATATACATATATTATGGCGGTTAACATAACTTTATATGCTGCAAAAATATTCCAAATATATAACTAGACGTTTTCGGTGTCCTTTTTGGGAACGTTGCTTTTGATAGGATATTTTAGATTTATCTGTCTATGTTTTTTTTCTTTCCAATATTTGTACTATCAAGAGCTTTCTCCTTTTAAATATGCATTAGATTAGTTATCGGGTATCTGGTATTCTCACATTCCGATAAATACATTTATCGATTATAAATAATATCCTTTGTCTGGCTTTGTTTTTAAGCTTTTACTTATGCTATCAAGGGATTTCTCTGCGAAAACATTTATTCGGTATGTTAATGTTAATTATAGTTATCTTTAATATATTATAATAATTTGTTACTCTTTGACTTCGTCTTTTAAAGCTTAACCGTAAACTTGCAAATGCAACGAGTAAATTTCAACGAGTGTAAAAGTCGAGTACCCAAACACGCACACGCGCACACTCACACACACACACACACAGAGAGAAAGAGAGACGCACATTCTGGCTCGCACACATTTTGTTTTCACAACATTTTCCCACACTCACGCACACACACCAACACGTATTGGTACGCGTGGCACAAGGAATTTGAATTTTCCAACCCCCAGCGCACAGAGAAAAAAAGCATTGCATACGTTCTGGGGCGCCGAAAGTAACGAGCGGCCGTTAGAGTTGCGAATTGCGAGCAGGAGCAGGCGCAAAAGAGCGAAGCAGCCGCCCAACCACCCCACCGCCCACAGGCGAGGACAACGAAGACGACAGAGAGTTGCCCGCTGCCCGCTGCCCACACAGACGCCGGCAGAACAACCACCCGCACACACTCTAGCGACAGCATCGACCCACCCAGCGACAGGGAAGGTATCGCAAAGCACAACAAACCGTAAAGCATTCGCGCCGCCTCGCAGTCACAGTCGCTGTTGACGGCGACGCTGACGTTGACGCCGACGCCAAACGCCAACGTCAGCAGTCCGTGTCCTTTGGTATGACAGGATATGGACTGTGGGCCGTGGGCCGTGGGCCGTGGGCCGTGGGCCGTGTGCGGCGGGCCATGCGCCGCGGCAGCGGAATGCCGATGCGCGGGGGCCAGTGGGACGCAGCGGGGGCCAGTGGGACGCAGCGGGGGCGCAGCGTCAACTGCTTCGCTTCCCAGCAGCTTTACCACTACATAAACAAAAATTCGATTTATGACCAGTGTGGACGGGGTGGACACGAGTGCGTCTCCGGCTGACTCTTGTTTTCGGCATAGACCTTTTGGGGGTGGCGCCATCGGGTTGTGCCTGCCTCACCCACCACCCACCAACCACCACCCCCCACCTCCTGCGCGCTCGATGTGCCTGTGCCTTGCTGCTAACAGCGACAGCAACGGCGGCCGTCGTGGCAATAACGTCAACGATAACGTGGACACGGAGGCGTTGGCGGGGGCGGAGGCGGGGGCGGGGGCGAGCACGAAGGCGGCAACATAGTACATGGCGCAGATGACGATGTGTGGCGATGTCAGGCGGCAAAATGCATGCACTGAGCGAAATATCACAATGAAATGAGACTTCAAGGCACGGAATTTAAAGCAGATCAGGAGCAACTGAATCCAGGCCTGAACTGAATCATTTAAACTCTAATAAAAAGAATTATTTATATTTTTTCGAATTTTTCTATTGGAAATTGTAAAAAGTATGGAAATTTAAAGAAAAATCGGTTGGAAAACTTGATTCTCAAATCGAACCTTAAGAATCTCGAGCCACACAATTCTGTGGCAATCCTTTTCCTAGACAGCATTCAATATAATTTTTAATCTGGAACTAGAAAACGATGAGAAAAACTACGAAAAAATGCTGAAGATTTAAAATATTTGATTAAGACTTTATCTTCAAAACTGTGTATGATATAGATAATACTTAAATTTGAATATCTAGCATACGCGTAGTATAACAACTTTCAAGCCTGAATGTTATCGATATCGTAGCTCCGATAGTTTTTGAATGTTGCCTAACTGCTTTTTATTTTGATCTGGCAACCTTTTTCTCGCAGTGTAATCAACAATGTCCTCGTCCTCGCAGTCAGCGTTCTCGTCGTTGTCGTCGTCATCTCAATTCGCGTGTATAAGCCCCCGCCCCTCTTCCTTCACAACACACACACACACATACAGGCATACAGACGTACAAGGGCCTTCGGTCGCGCTGTGCACGGGCTCTCCATATAGACGACGGAACGGCGCGACTTGGCTGAGCTTTTGGTTTG